AAAAAAAAAAAAAAAAAAAAAAAAAAAAAAAAAAAAAAAAACAACAACAACAACAACCCAAAGATGCCACCTCTAGTTCCAGTCAAGGTCAGGCAGCACTGGTTCTTGTTTCAACCACCACATCAGCCATCTCCCTTTTTGTTTGGTCCCCCCCCCCCCCACCTGATCCCTGATCCTATTATTTTGCATGGCTACGATCCGGACGTCCGGACCGCCGTCCAGACGGTCTGGATTCAGTCCGGAATCCAGACGTCCGGTCTGGAAGGTCCGGATCTGGCAAATTTCGAGGGGGAAAAAAAAAATAAAATGGTCCAGGACCCTTCCCCAGTGAGGAGCCAAGCCCTCAAAATTGTTTTGGGGGTTTTTCAGGCCCGTTTATGCTTTTTTGGGGGGTCCGTACATGCTCTCTCTCTATAGTAATTTATTAGACAACCCCAATTTTTTAATTATTAATAATTCATTACCTTTTATTAGTTTTTAAAGTCTTTTTTTTAAGCTTTTTATAGTTTTTGACTTTTAACTCAAGTTTGGTTAGGAATTCTGACATGACTCTGAGGCAAAAGTGGTTTACATTGTTATTCTGCATAACGTACTTTTTTTTCAGTTTTTTTTTTTTTTTTTTAATGGTCCGGACATTTCCGGACCTGTCCAGACTTCCGGACCGTCCGGATTCCACCATGTCCGGAGGTCCGGAAATGTCCGGAATTCCGGACGTCCGGAAACTGCCGGACACAGGTCCGGTTCCATGTCCAGAAATGTCTGGGTCCGGGTCCGGCGTAGCCATGTTATTTTGCCAATATTCCTTCATTGATGTGATCTTACTGTTCTTCAAACTGTTGAAAAAAAAAAAAAAACAGACTGTTTTACTTGGTTCTTTTTTATGCCCTTTTTTGTTTTTTCTTTACTGCCTTGTGGATGGATGCAGGGCTGCGCTCCTCCCACGGCTGCGAGCACAGCTGGAAGAAGATTTACGACAGTTTGCAGTGCCATCTCCACCGTCGGTTCAGTCTGACAAATGAAGATCGAATCATCGAAGAGCCGGGCCACAGACAAACTGGAGGAGGGAGAAGATGTGACACACGGACGGATTGTCTGTCACAGACGGATGGTCGGTCACAGACAGACAGAGAATAAACTGGTTGCTTATGAGAAGAAGAAGAAAACTTGAAAAACGACAGACAGACAGACAGACAGACAGAGATGAATAGACACACAGAGATGGGCAGATTAGATAGCTGGAGGGGTGCAGGCGATGTAGCCTGAAGGCCCTGAAGCAAGGGGGGAGGTGAAGAGGGAGGGCGGTCAGAAGAGGGGGCGGGGAGGGGGGGGGGGGGGGGGGGGGGGGGGGGGGGGGGGGGGGGGGGGGGGGGGGGGGGGGGGGGGGGGGGGGGGGGGGGGGGGGGGGGGGGGGGGGGGGGGGGTGGGAGGGGGGGCGGGGCGGCGTTGGCGCGGGGTGGGGGGGGGGGGGAGGCGAGGGGGCGGGGAGGGGGGGGGGGGGGGCAAGGGGGGGGGCGCAGAGGGGCGGGGGGGGACAGAAGGCCCTGACTGAGACCAGCCTTTATATTTGACAGGGGCTGAGGCCGACAAATGAGTCAAAAATTGGTTTCTCTTTCCTTTAGCAGGGAATGTTCAATGTTTTCAAGATCGTAGTTCTGGTACTAAGTGCATAGTCCCACATGGGACACATGGGACTGTTTTAACCAACTGGGATAGCGTTCATGTATGTGACGGAGTGCGCAGGGAGGGGCGGACTCGCATCACATGCTTCGTAGATCGCTGCAATAAGGTCAGTAAATAATAAATAATAAATAATAAATAATAAATAATAAATATGGTATGTTTGACATTGTTTGTAACTTTGTGAGTTCTATTCATGCAAGAATAGGCGAGGAACGCGAGCTCGGCATTTCAAGGTAAGTTGTTGTTGTTGTTGTTGTTGTTGTTGTTGTTGTTGTTGTTGTTTCAAGGTAAGGTTGAATGCTGCAACTGTTGCCTTCAAATTAAAAAAAAAAAAAAAAAAAAAAAAAAAAAAAAAGAAGAGGAAGAAGAAGAAGAAGCGTGGTTCACTGCTGTGCTCGAACCTTTCTTGTTGAAGCCCCCACTGATTACTAATTCATCATCAATGAATTATCCTGGAAGCTTTTTTTTTCTTGTTGAAGCCTGCACCCATCAGGAAACTGTGAAGTACCCACCTTCCGCCTCACCCTACGTCGGCATCCAAACCAACATCATGGGGTCCGGAGGCGGCGTCCGGCACTCCGTGCCCTCATCCGTCTCATGATTCTCATGCGTGCAATTTATGTCCTCTCTGTCGTCGAGGGGACACCTTCATTCTTGAGCCTTCTCTCTTAGCCTTTGCTATGCTTTCATCTTTCGTTCCACACTCCTCCTCGCTTTCCCTTACTTTCTCTTTCCCTTCCTTTGCTTTGTCTTCTGTCCATTTTTTTTCCCTCTGTGTTTGTCCCCTCCTCCCTTAACCTCCCTCGTTTTCCTTTTCTTTTCTTTTTGATTCAGAAGTGCAATGTATTAGCCATCTGCTTCCGGCGGTGGAGTTCGAACTCAGGTCCGCGTTTCAACAGTTCAGTGGTGTAATAATTTATTAACTTGTCCCTCCCACTTTTCCACAGCATACAACTGGGGCTGTTATGGCACACTAAAGGAGAAGAAGAAGCAGGTACAGCGCACGCTCAACTTCATCAATGTGTGGTGAGCAGCGTACGCGAAAGCCACGGTAAAGGGGAGGGGGGGGGGAGGGGAGGGGAGGGGGGGAGGGAAGTAAAACGAAGAAATGTCGGTCGATGGGAAGTTTTTTTGGAGGTTGCATTCGGATCACGAAATGACAGCGCAAGTCCCCTTGCTGCCACGTTTCCGAGACAAGACAATTTACTCATAATGCGAAGCAAGCCATCAAAGCAGACCCTTAGCTGCATGCATACCTTCTTCCTTTTTTCCTTTTTTCCTTTTTCTTTCACATACCAACTAAAGTGACCTACTGAATTTTTGAAGACCCATTCTAATAAGGGAACTGCAAGCCTTATCGATGTGTCTGACTTCTGACGACTCTGACCCCATCCTGTAATCCACAACTATCATCTGAACACCCCTGATAACCCCCAGAGAATAGGGTTGGCAGTTTGGATGAGCCAGCCCGAGATGTCTGACGACTCTGACCCCCCCTCTCCCAGGCTCATCCCGGCCTCTCCCCCCCTCTCCCCCCCCCTCACTCCCCAATTCCTGCTATAAGCCATTTGACGCTGAAGTTTCCTTCCACTCAAGCCCGTACTGCTCTGGTGAAGGAGGTAATTGCCCCCCAGGAAAGAACGTCGTTAACAAGGGGCAATAAATGAAAGCATAGTGCTGACTCGGCTGAGTGGTTTGATGATCATGCCGAGGAGTGTCGTCAACAACGCGTGCTTTATCCCAATATAAAATTGAATAAATAAATATAATGTAGCATCAAAATTATAAATTTTTGGATTAGCTTGGGGGCTTGGGACACTGGACCCCTTTTCCAGTAAAAGCCCAAGCTGGGTATTGGCCCCAGTACTCCAGGTTGAGATGTGGAGGGAGGGATTCCCGGCCTCCTGTTGCTCATATGCATAAATGAAACCAAGCTTTCGTTAAGAAAATAGTAATAATAATAATAAATTAATAATAGTAATAAAATAATAATAAAATAATAATAATCATAAAATAATAATAATAATAATAATAATAATAATAAATTATGGGCCTGCATTTGCTCCCATTGGAATGGTGACAGTCTGTTTCTGTACCAACGGGCTTATAGCTCAAGTGGTACACACACAACACATCAAGTGTTGAAATGCAGACCGGAGTTCGAATCCATATGGAACCAGATGAACGAAATGCGTAAAAAAAAAAAAGGTATGTCATCTGCACTGTACAGAACAGATAAGTGTTCTTTTTTTTTTTTTAACAACAAAGCAAAGATGTTGGAAAATCTGTCTGAGAAATAGAAAGGGTATCCTATCCGGGCCTGAATCAGCTGTCCATTGGCCCAGAACGAGCTCCTAAAGAACTCGCAAAAAGTCGCAATGTTTATTACGCCTTTTTTCTTTAGGTGCAATGGCGTACTGTACGAATTGATGATTCCATGGATTGTTTCATTTGAGAGCGTGAAGGTATGGAACACGAATATATATGGAGGACAACCATCCACATTTTCATTTCATTTCATTTCATTTCATTTCATTTCATTTCATTTCATGAACAATAGTTTCTTGTCTTTCTATCTGTGCTTAGAACGCGCAATGCTTAAACCGCCACTGCCTTTCCCACTGGTGGGAAACCGAGTAAATAGCTTGCTTCTTAAAAAACAGGGGCTGGGCCCGACGATGGCCGTGGGTGATAAATCTCGTCGGTGGCCGTCGTGTCATTTTGGATGCTGAACCCGGTTTCCAGCAGGTGACGCTCCCCACCAAAAAAAAAAAAAAAAAAAAAAAAAAAAAAAAATAGTGGTCGTCCCGTTCACTATGAACAACCGTTCACAAAAAAAACACCAAATAAACGGCCGATCACAATAATGGGATAGGCACTGTCAGGTTCATGGGATAGGCACTTTGTGTATGTGTGTGTGTGTGTGTGTGTGTGTGTGTGTGTGTGTTTGTGTGTTGCGTGTAATGTGTGTGTGTGTGTGTGGCTG